ATAATAACAATAATAATAATAATAATAATAATAATAATAATAATAATAATAATAATAATAATAATAATAATAATAATAATAATAATAATAATAATAATAATAATAATAATAATAATAATAATAATAATAATAATAATAATAATAATAATAATAATAATCATGCAAATGAGCAAAAATTATAGATGATTGATAGTTATCTGTTTGTCATATTTTGATATAATGTGTGACATGTCGCATATCATATTAACAATGTAGGAGATAAACTTTGTTGAAAAATGGAACAGTTGAAAAAGTATTTGAAATTCATATTTTAATTTTTGAATTTCTTTTTTCTTTTTGGTTTTTACATTCATCCTTTTAGTCAATATCATATCATACATACCTGCATACACACATGCGCATACACACACATATATATGCATACACACATACACGCATACACACATACACGCATACACACATACACATGCATACATGCGCGCATATACACACATGTGCACATACATACATATACACATACACACATACACACACATATGTATATATACACATACACACATACATGAATGCACATGAAGGGCACGTACCTTGTTTTTAATGATTAAATGCACTTAGTAATTATGATTTATATAGGAATTAATTTGATTTAACATAAATTTCAATTTATTGTTCATAAAAAAAATTCATAAATTTCGTTCATTAAAAAAGTTAAAGTTTTTTTTTTTCACGAAATAATATTTTAAAAATAAAAAAAGAAAAATTCATTTAATATGATGAAAATTGTAATTAAACAATTGGATTATTTGTAAATTTTTTGTTAAATAAAATGAATAAAAGTTTAACAAATTCTTTTTTAATTAATATTAATGCTTATATTTGTTAATTAAAAATAATTTTTAAAAAATAATTAACGTTAATTAATATAATATAACGAATAAAAGTTAAATAAATTCTTTTTTAATTAATATTAATGCTTATATTATTAATTAAAAATAATTTTTAAAAAATAATTAACGTTAATTAATATAATATAATAAAAAATAATACAATATATAAAATTTGGGGGAAAAAAAATTCATTGATAAAATGAATAATGAAGAAAAGAGAATATTTGATGGATATTTTTCATTAACTTGAGCGTTAGCTAAATCTTAAATTAAGGTATGAAAGAGAAAAATATTATTCTTCGTCGCTAGGCAACAATTTCATTTCATTTTCCATTCAATAACATATCAAATCCTTTACTATACAACATAGTCACTATAACTAATGGAAAAAAAAGTAAAAACGGATAACAATTTATATCATATCGATTTGTTCTGATAAAAAAAAAAAAAATTAAAATAAATCAATTGTTACATTGTTTATTTTCATGATGTAAAATTACTGATAAGAATAAACACTGATTTAATTTCCTAGGGTAAATTATCATTGATAGTGATATGATATGATATGATGTGATATGACGTGATACGATATGATATGATATGATGTGATATGATATGATATGATATAATATACAACGTGTAATGATAATCGTTATGAAATAAAAGAAATAGAAAAGAAAACAGAAATTGTTTGCACATTTGCATATTTTTTTATAGAAATATATTTTTTGATATATTTCATGTTGAGATATCTGTATGAATGGTATGCGTGAATTAATATTATCAAATCATCAATTTACGTCAGTTACGCTAGTTACGTCAGTTAGGAGTTACAGTCTTACGTCATTTTAGCTTCAAAGAAAACGTGAATACATCACTGCTCAATTTTCATCTTAGCATTTAGAATTTTGCACTTAAAATCATTTTCTGAATTCAATACAAACAAACATATACACATACATACATACACACATACACACATACATACATACATACATAGATAAGGAAAGAGAAAGGAAAAAATAGGGAATGGATGAATGGAAAGGCGTTGTGCCAAAATGCATTGGCAACAATGGCACTGAAAGTAAACGGGCCAAGATTATAAGGCTCTTTTCAGGCCTTTATGAAGGCTTCTCTCCTCCTCTTGCCTAACATCACAACCAATAGAGTATGCATATAAAGTGGAGCGAATGATTTTCAAATATCACACAAACGAGAAAAAGTGAAAAAAGGAAAGCATTTCAATTTGCATTTGTCGCATGAATAGTAGTAACAGTAGCATTATTATTATTATTACTATTATTGCTACTATTATTATTATTATTATTATTATTATTATTATTATTATTATT